GGGGGGTAAGTGAGATCGAGAGTGGTTCAGAATATAGGTCCTGCGGGTCTCGTCAGTCACGTATTTTTTCGGTTTGGTTTGATTTTTTTTTAAAGCACAATTCTGGATTAATCAAATGTCACGTTCTCGTAACGAATGTTTGCTTTCTACTGTGTGTTCATGTGTATTCATCCTTTCAAATATTTGATTAATTAAGTATTTTTTTCTTTGATTGTTCTCGTCTTTGAGTGCTCTCTATTTGCACTGATCCTGACTTTATTCCATTAGTTAGTAAAAAAATAATTTTTAAAAAACCCCTCTTGTGGCGTATGTGTGGTCTTGTTAGGTGCGAGTTGTTTATTCTCACGCTTGTGGGTGGTTGGCAGGAGTTATGGTGTTGTTAGCCTCTCGATTCCTATCAAATTAATGTCTATTGTCATTATAGTTCCTCTTTATTTTCTTTGTATGTCACTCCCCGTGGGTGGTTGGCGGGTGCTCTGGTGTGGTTTGCTCCTTTTTTCCTATAAAAAATCTATCGTCCTTATCTCTCCTCCTTATTTTATGTTTGTTACTCTCTTGTAACACTTATAATCTTCGGCACTTATACACCTTATTGTGTTGCAAGTGCCGTAAAATTGTTCCCAAAACGAAAACGAAAATGTCACTCCCCTCTAGTAACACTTCTAACATGGGTGTTTGGCGGGTGATCTGGTGTGGTTTGGTCCTTCACCTCTATGAGACGATTAATATCCTTATCTCGCCTCCTCCTTTTTTATGTTTGTTAATCTTTTTGTATCACTTCCAATTTTCGGCACTTATAATTTATGACCTAATTGTGTTGCAAGAACAGTAAAACTCTTACTAGTGGATGGTTGACGGATGCTCCTTTGTGGTTTGCTCCTTCTATTTTTATCAAACATGTTTCTTATATTATTATCTCTTCTCCTTTTTTGTGTGCATGTCACTGTCTAGTGTAACACCTCTTATCTTTGACGCTTATATGACCTATACATCGTGTTGCAAGTTCCGTAAATTATTACCAAAAAAAAGTAAAATCAAAGTTTTCACTAAAACTAAACCAAAACATTATAGCTACGTCTGTGATCAGAGACTAGATCAGACTGCACTGACTGCGACCTATCAAGATCAATAAATTTCCTTTGCACAAATGTATACGCTTACTTTATGAGGGTTCAATACTCAAATTATATAACAGATCTTCAACCGTTTCCCTGACACTGACACTGCCTCAGAGTGCTGGTCAGTTTGCTGGAGAACAGAGTATGAAATGGCCAGTTACCGAGGAGCATGGGTCAAATCTGTGTCAATAGTGTCATAAAACACCCACTCAAACAAACAAACCGGGGAGCTTTTTTCTGGCAAGGGCCTTAGTCAACAATGGGTTAATTTATGCCTGTCGTCACCGTCACCACCCTGCCGTCATTTTGAAAAATACAGTAGGCCCTACATATATACAGTTTTTACAATTTTACATGAAAGGAAAACAACAACAACGACAACAACATCGACAACAACATCAGCAGCAGCAACAACAACAACAAAGACAAAAACAACAACAACAACAACAAAAAAAACAAAAAACAACAACAACAACAACAACAACTTCACCTGAACATTGTTACCAAGAAAACAAACTCTTTGCAAACATCCCGAGATTTTTTTTTTAGAATTTAGTTTTGACAATCGCGTCCTTATTATCCCTAAACCAAGTCTTGTTTTATTGATAACAACTTCAGTCTTTTGGCTTTCCTGTAAAACTGTGAAAACTGCTTGTATATAATCTATACCGTATTTTTTAAAAATGACGGCAGGACTGTAACTATTACCCATAATATTATTGTTCGTTACGCTTAATTTCTGACCTTTGAAAGGAGAGCCAAGTCTTCAAAAGAGTAATGAGCGTACAGATGGAATAATAGGCATATTGTAAGCCAACTACAATGTATGCTTGAATCATTTATGACCCCCCTCCCCCCCTCTCCTTCTTTTGTGCTTAACTGTTAACATTCTGGCCATCTGTTTAAAGATGCGGGTCTGGTCAGTCTGTGTGCAACCCGAGTTTAATCCTCTTTATAAGAACCTTAATACACACACACACACAAACACACACACACACACAAACATACATACACACACACAAACATACACACACACACACACACA